GAAATAATAAACTACAAGTTTCATGAGTAACTGGAGGCAGAAGCAAAGGCCAGCATGACCTTAAGGAATATTCCCATTCGGACAAAACTTTCCTCTATGTTAAGTTAACATTTAGGCTAGAGGAAGAGGGAAGACAGAAATTTCCTGAAAGAAAATTACTCCAAACAGAACAGAACAAATTGCTTTTTTTTTTTGCAAGTGTGTGTGGTACTGGGAATTGAACCCAGAAGTCCTCTATCATGGAGCTACAACCCCAGCCCTTTTTATTTTTTATTTTGAGAGAGGATTTCCCTAAATTGCTGAGACTGGCCCCAAATTTGCGATCCTCCTGCCTCAGTGTGGACAGCAGGCTGTACCTGCTCTGAGTTACTCTTTGATGTGTAGATGGGGAGTTTTCAGTCTGTGCCTAAACCATTTTGTAAAGCAGGAGTTTTCCATAAGCTATTTCATTTTGAGTTTAAGTGCTGAAGTGAAATAACTTTACACCTTGTTTGCACAAGTGAACAACTACCATCTACCTGTCACAACCATAAGGCACAAACTAATAAATGAATTAATCATGCTAATAAAAATGACCACCTGTGAACTTATTGAATTAATCAGAAGCACATGGATGCATGGGAGTATCAAACTCATATTGGAAAAAGCAGGCCACAAGCTTACCAAACACACCAGAACATTGGATGATGCAATGCCCTAATTGGAAACCCATAAAATGAGGACCACCCTGAGAGTGGACTTGATGGCACCTTGACCCTGTCACCTCTTTATGAGCTTTGCCCAGGAAAATTGCCATAGTGGTGAACCTCCTAATCGGTATCCTTGGGCTTTAGCAGAGCATGGTTTCTCCTGTCTGTGAGGACCATGTAAATCCCACTCTAAGATGACATCTTAGTGAGACGCTTCAGGCTCACACTGAGAAACTGCTGACCCACCAGACCTTGGCCTAGAATAAGTTTCTGCACTTTGACAACTCTGCACTTTGAACAAATTCTTTGGCTGGTTAGTAATCTTATTTGACTACCTAGAGTGACGCTTGGCATTCATATCTGCTTTCTGTCTTTTCTCTTAGTTCACTCTCCTGAACTTCTGTGGCTGCTTTTACCCTTTCTTAGCTTTTCTGTCTCTCTCTCTCTCTCTCTCACATATATATATATATATATATATGTATATATATATATATATATATATATATATACATGATGTATGGCATGTGATATGTGACTTGAGAGTTATATATTAGAAATTAAGATTGAAATAAGAGCACTTGTGATTACCTGGCTTGTGACTACCAGGTGACCCATAGTATTCAGTGAACTGTCACTGATGAAAGTGGTGTAGCCTGTGAATTTATTACTAATAAATTCTGACATCGTGGAAAGACACAAACATGTCTGGTTTATGTTATTGACATAGTGTTCATGACACTTAGCCTTCCAAGTTGCTGAGATAAATGTGCACAACTGAACCCAGTTCATGTTGCTTTTAATTGATCAGTTTATGTCTCTTTTTTCATCTTCCCCTTCCCACAAAAATAGGACTTGAAAGCAAGATGAGACCATTAGAGAAAATAAGCTGCACCTATATAGCAAAACACTCTTTTGTAGTGTGTTAAATTATGTACCTCATTTTACTTTGATGACTGTAATTCCTCTATATTTATTGCCTCTCATTCCCATTCCAGTCATATGGACACTTATTTTACTTGTTACTTGAACTTTCCTATTCCCATTAGCTGTCATCAGTACTAGCCAAAACTGAGTTCTGAGACTCGAAATTGGAATATTGGCTCTTTAACAATGGCTGAGAGAGGCTGAATTCTTACTTAGGTTGTAGGCTTGTGGCTGAATGCACTTTCTCTTTAAGTTACAACTGACTTGATTTTGCAGTTTGATTTCTAGAAGTAGGAATAATGAACTTTGATTTTTAAAAAAATATTTGTTCTTAGTTGTTGATAGACCTTTATTTTATTCATTTATTTATGTGCAGTGCTGAGAATCGAACCCAGTGCCTCACACATGCTAGGGAAGTGTTCCACCACTGAGCCACAATCCCGACCCCTGAACTTTGATTTTTTAAAAAAACAGAATAACAGGATTATTTGATTAAACAAGAAAGATTACCATATAAGATTGAAACAAATACTCCACAAAGGTGATCTGTGAGTTTGCTCTACTGTGAAGCTAGGCAAAGGGGTCAGTGCATAAGTTTGCAGGGTTCTCCTTAGGGTTATATTGAACAAGTTTGGCTGCTCAGTTCATAAAGCTGTGGTGGCTTCTCCCTTGCAGGGATCAGGGGTGCAAAGATCAAAAGTTACTGAGTTGTTGCACAGGTTTACCCTTGAACTTCGGATTCCCACGTGTCCCTTTAGCAAAGGAATTTATCATTGGTCTCAATCAAGGAGAGTTGCACATGTAGACCTGCTTTTGAAGGGTAGAGGGTGGGTGAGTGTGAGAAGAGTGAGTTTAGGACTCAGAAGCAGGATTCGCTTCTAGGCATTGCGTCCCTTTGGTTGAAGGTCCTGGCCATGCTGTACCTCTTCTTCCTTCCCTCATCTTCTTTCTTTTTCGGGTATTAGGATGAACCCAGGGCCTCAAGCATGCTAGGCAAGCACTCTATCACTGAACTGCATCCTCAGCCCTTTTTATCTCGAGACAGGGTCTCCTAATTTGCCCAGGCTGTCGTGCAATTTTCGATTCTTCTATCTCAACCTTCCGAATAGCTGGGGTTATAGTGTGCCAGGTTCCTGCTTTACATGTAAGGGTTAAAGGTGAGAGAACTTCATTTTCATGCCAACTGAAGCTGGCCTATGTGCCTATTTGTACAATTTGGCTGTTACCTAGCTAATATCTCTCACGTGCTCCCTCTCTCCAACCCACTTCACCAACTCTGTACTGGGCCTTGCTCCAGAGTTTCCAGATTGCCAGGCATGCTGCTCTAACCTGTCTCCCTAATTCTCTTTCTTATCTTTGAATGCAGTGTTCTAGGAGCTTGTCTCCTTGGGTTTCCAAGTGTACCAGAATTCAAGGGTCAAACCAGCGTAAAGCAGATGTGGGCAAATGGCTAAGAGAACAAAGCTTGTTTAGAGTCCAGCTGGTAGTGAAAGGATGTGCACTCTGGAGATTTAAGCTTGGGTCACAGACTTTTTTTGTTCTGCTGGAGCACTGAAATCAAATTTACAGAGCTTATAACCACAGCTGCCTGGTAGGCTTCTGTAGCTGTAGGCTTTACTTCCTCTTCCTAAGCACAGTTTTGCTGAAATCGAAGCCATAAGTTGCTCTTTCCACAATATTTCCAGTTTGATAAGTGGCCCCCTATAACCTAGGTGCTTGAGCCAGAAATATTGTGTTATTTTAGTTGCTCCTTCCTCACATCCACATCCAGTTAATCACAAATACCTATTAAGTCCATTTCCAAATGTTCATTTTCTCTCCCACATTTCCTCTCCTGGCCTCCATAATGTCCCCCCACATTTTTAATATAGTCTTCATATCCACCTATAATTAACTCTCCATAAAGCAGCCAAGTGATCTTTCCATGATATGTGTTCTGCCTACCACCTGTGGAGGAATACTGTTCAATACTGTTTTCTGGGTCTGAGGTTGTGGCTCAGTAGTAGAGCACTAGCCTAGCATGTGTGAGACACTGGGTTTGAGTCTCAGCACCACATAAAAAAATAAGTAAACAAAATAAAGGTATTGTGTCCATCTACAACTAAAAAAAAATTTAAAAAAGCAATTGTTTTCTGCACAAAGTTCAGATATTTAAGCATGAATTGACTGGCTTTGCTTAGTTTTGTAGTTTCACCTTTTTCCTGTTCAAAGCTGACTTTTATCTGCTCTTGTCTATAATGCCCTTCTTTCTTTTTTAGTCAATTCTGCTTCACATTCTTTGGAATTATTCCCTCCTTTTCTCTAGCCTAGACAAGGTTAGTTTATTTTGGCATAATTAATTAGCATACTTCCACACATTAGTCACAAGTCTTAATAGGTTGCACCATATTGAAAGTTTATCACCTTTGAAAAGCTTCAAGAATTTTTATTACTCAGCTGTAACTTGAATCTAGTATATGCTCAACAAATGTTGAATGAATGAATGACACTATATCA